CCAGCAGGTTTTGGCAATAGCTGCCTTGTTCCACCATTTCAGATTAACTATATTAAGTCCACCTCCTGCCTTGGGTAAACAAACTTTATCCCAGGCTATCAAAGCCTTCTTTGTGATCTCATTTGCCCCAGACCAGACATAAGACCTGCATATCCCCTCTACCAATTTAATCACCTTTGTTGGTAGGATAAACAGTTGTGCCCAAAAAGCTTGAATCCCAAACAATACACTTTGGACTTACTGGACTCTCGTTGCATATGATAGAGTCTTAGCAGTCCAAGAAGTAATCCTCTCAATCATTTTATCAATAAGAGGTTGCCATTGCATTAAACTCAGTTTCTTTGTGGATAAGGGAACTCCTAGATACTTGAAAGGTAGTTCACCATTTGCAAGTCCCAGCATCTGCAGGATTTGCTGCCTTTCTGCCACAGGAACACCTCCAAAATAGGCTTCACTTTTACTAAGATTTGCTTGTAAACCAGACTTGAGTGAACTGCTTGAACTTCTGTTAGATTGCTTTCACTGTCTTCAAATCACCTCTAGCAAATAGAAGCAAGTCATCTGCAAAGCTTAGGTGAGTGATCCCAAGCTTTGCACACCTAGGGTGATATTTGAACTCTTTCTCCTCCTTCAAACTAGCCAGATTCCTGCTTAGGTACTCCATTGCAATGGCAAATAAGTATGGTGACATAGGGTCACCCTATCTCAGTCCTTTTGCAGCATTAAAAGGTTTTGTTGGCTCACTACAATTGAGTAGTTAACTGTCTGGACACACTCCATAACCCAGGATATAAATAGTTGGGGAAATCCTAGTTCCTCCTTCACTTGCTTCATGTAATGCCACTCCACAGAATCATATGCTTTTTGAAGATCTATCTTAATCATACATCTAGGAGATAAGTTTTTCCTAGTATAAGCCTTCACCAGTTCATGTGCCAATATGATATTATCCGCTATCTTCCTCCCAGGTATGAATCCTGCTTGAGCTTCATTGATCACTGTACCAATAACACTTTGTATCCTTGCTGCTAGGACCTTGGATATCAGTTTATACAGGACAGTGCAACAGGCTATAGTTCTGAATTCTTTAACAGTTTTAGGCTTAGACACCTTTGGCACCAAAGTTATAGCTATACAGTTTATGACTCTATACAGCTTTCCAGACTTGAAGAAATCCATAACAGCTTCTATGACTTCATCTTTAACAATAGGCCAAGCTTTCTTGAAGAAAAATGCATTGTAGACATCCACACCAGGTGCTTTATCATCACCTATAGAGCACAACCCTTCATAGATTTCTTCTGTAGTCACATCTCTGCATAACTCAATTCTTTGCTGTTGGGTGAGTTTAGCTCCATTACACATAACCATTTTATCTATAGCAGGAAGTGTTTGGGCAGCAGTTCCCATCAGTGACTTATAGAATTCAACTATCTCCCTTTGGATACTTTCTGTATCGGTTATCCTATCACCACTAATAGCTTGCAACTCTACAATTTGCTTTCTTTGGCTCCTTTCTGTCATTACAGGAGAGAAATATCTAGTATTAGAGTCGCCCAATTAAATCCATTTTGCCCTGGCTTTTTGTTTCAAAGCTCCTTCTTCAATCATACTCCATTTCTCCAAATTCTGCATCAACTCCTTCTCTTTCATTAACATATCATAATTGCTATCAGCATCTATGGTTTTCTGCACATGTTCCAGCTCAATTCTGCCCAGCTCTATCTTCTTTTTAATAAACTTGAATTCTTCTACATTAAGTTTCTTCAATACTATCCTCAATGCTTTGAGTTTCATCCGCACATTCTGCATTTTCTGCCTGTGAAATTTCTGGTTCCAGATCTGCTGTACTTCATACATAAATCTCTCATGATCAGCCCAGACATTAAAAAATTTAGAAGGAATTTTCCTGTTTCTCTGAACCTCATTAAATGTCAGACACATAGGAGCATGATCAGAGATAAATGGTAGCTCATACACAGTTGCTATATGCCCCCATTGCATCATTCATTGATAGTTCCCAAAGACCCTATCTATTCTGCTCCATATTCTGTCTCCACCATCCTACTTGTTGGACCAAGTATAATAGTCACTTTCCCAGTTCAGTTCATTCAGCTTTAACTCTTGAATATAATTGCTGAAGTCTTGAGTTTCAGCTTTTGTAACTGGACTTCCATGCTTCCTATCTTGCAATTGCAGAACAGCATTAAAGTCTCCCCCAAATATCCAAGGAATGGTTGTCATTTGATCTATTTCTTTTATATTATCCAATAACTACCATGTAAACAAATTATTTTTATCCCCTTTCGAAGATCCGGCAGCCTCTTCGTTTTATTCCAATTGCTGGATGTGGACATGATGAGCGTTGAAGCTTGAATGAAAAGAATTGAAGAGATAAGGGAGTTGACAAGAAATAAAATGAGGCAGTGGGGAAAGAAAAGAAAGGAGAATCGAGGTTGCTTAGTTCTTGGTTTTATACATTTTTCAACAATGTCCACAGCCCGTGCCATGCTACCTTGTTTGTCATGTTGCACTTGTGTACTTTTGGAATTGTACCACGCTACGATTTCGCCTAGTTTTCACTTAAAAATTTTATTGTTAAAAAATTAGCATTTTTATTTAAAAAAAGGAACCTTCTTTCTATATATGTAATAAGTAACAGAGAATGAAGTACATTTTCATGCTAAAAATTAAGTTTATTAACCTGGAGATTAAAAGTATATATATTTAGCGGCAATGGTTTCCATGTGAAGGTGATATTACCCATTTGCTAGTGCAAAAAAGTCAGGCCATAAAAGGTAACTGTTGATTTGATCTGTGCTTTAGTTACTCCAGCAAACAGAAGCAAGCTCGTCCACTACCTTGTGCAGTTGAGAACTAAACTTTGGTTTTCTTAATTGTAGATTCTTTCTGCCTCTTTTTTCTCCTATAATCCTCCACCCAGACGTATTATAATGCATCAATATCTGAGGACTTGGTGAAATTTCAGGTATGAACAGGCTGAGTTTGTGGAGAGGGAAATGGAGAAGATGACAGAACAGATCAAGTCAATCATTAATACACTTAATGCGAGCCAGGTCTTGTACCTTCATTTATTTTGGCTTCCACCCCTGACCTTAGCGTTATGACTAGATGGTGTAAAGTTTATACAATATGCCGGTTTTATATTTTTATGTTTATTTTTCTATTTCATTTAGGGTGGAGAACTTGAGGCACCAGATGGAATGACACCGCTTGATGTTGTTGTCCGAATCTTAAACAATCAATTGAGTTCACTGATGTGGATTGATGAAAAGGTGAACATTGCCTCTCATGCTTTTTCTGGCTCTTGTTTTGTAGCCTAAAAATGAAATCAGAATGAAAAGTAAGTACGCTGGACTAGTAAACAATGTGATTGGAGAGAGAGGTGGAAGAAAAGAAAAAAAAGGGAAGTCTTAGTTTTTCAACTCAATCTTCCAGATAATCTTATGGAACAAAAATGGCGATATTGTTCCGTACAAGTCAAGAACTTCTATATTTGTGAAATAGATATTGTCAGGAGACATTGCCATCCCTAATACAATTTTTAACAGAGGAGATAAATTTTATAAAGTAATTTAGAGTATGCGGGGTATTAGCAGCTGTTTGACGATTCAGCTGAAATCGTACTCGTCTTCCCTTTACATTTTTTTGATCATTTTGTTGATATGATGTTAAAATGCCTCTTTTATGATTTTCTTAAGTGTCCTTGATGTTGCACGGTAAGGTTGGGTATGATATGCACTTGTAAGTGCTAAATTGGAGAATCATTGATCTTGCAGGGTGAGATATACTAATCTAGTTAAGTTTCTAACCATTTAATTCAATTTACTATCCATTTTAAATTCACAAGCACCAGAGAAAAATCTATAGATAGGACAAGGTTTTGAATTTAATTCTTATGGATAGACACGAAGAGTCCAGTTTTGGTTAGAGGCTAAAAAAGGTATTGTCGAAAAACAACACCTACATGTGGTTCAAAGATTTAGGAAGGCATCACCACCTCGCCTTGTCAATCTGATGAATTATATTTGCCGGTGGGAATCACTTTCTTGAAGCCTGTGGTTATATTCCCACGCATCTACTTTAGGGCAAAAGGTCCATTATACCTCTTCTCTCTACTACCCCAAACTCTACCTTATGCCCAAAGATTGTTCTAGTAAGCTAACTAAATTCTGTTAAGCACCACTCAATTTTATTCAGGTTTCTGTTAATTTGTCATAATATGTATTTATATGTCAAATGACTTTTGACTTGAGAAGCAATAATAGGTGCTATTCTGCCATTTCATTTTCAGTTTATCTTTGTAGATTCATTGCTTCTGTCTAGGTACAGCTGAATTTGTACCACATAGTGAATGCTTTAGGGATCTACTATTACTGATACTGATTAATACATAGCGTACCATTACAGATCTGTTTTCTACTCTTCATTTGTGAATAGATTTAATTTTGTTGAAGGCGTCGCCTAGATGCAAGTTTAGACTTGAACCCAAACCTTAATAAACTGAATATAGAGGAGTTATGGTTCTTTCTAAATTTACCTTACATATCAGAAATTAATGATACCATTTACATTTGTTCAGGCTGAAGAATTCTCTTCTCGTATTCAGAAGCTTGCAAGCGAAGGATCTGCTGCCAATCGTGAATTAACGGGCCCTAAATTATGGTTGACTCGATGATCGGTAGGTGCTGTGAACAGTTTCATGTAGAAGTACAAATCTGAGGGAATCTCTCGAGTCTTGTTGGATCTCTTTTCCAGCTATGTGTATGCCATTAGTTTTCAGTCAGAGATGTTAGATCGTGATACTTTTCAAAGGCCTCACATCTGAGTGGTGATTGAAGTGCTGCAAAATCTAGTTTTCTGAAATGGTGCTCAGCCTTGTTCAAAATCTTCCTTTTTTTTGCCTATTGCTTTCAAGACAATGATGATTAAATGAAATGTAGAGGAAATTCAGGAAAAACTAAAATTAACAGATTGCATTGTTACATCTGGTCTCTTATGAATATTACTAAAAGGTTGAGCAGAGTTCTTCTTCATCACAAAAAGAACTTTGGAAAGAAGGAACTACTTTCAGAATAATGCCCTGTACGAGAAGCAAGAGATTGTCGTTGGGAACAAATCTAAACAAAAAGAATGCCTGGAGAGGGAAGCAATTGCGACTTATGAAAAATTATTCACAATAGGGTTGTTTCCCCCTCTATATGAAAGCATGTAGCAAATTTGTTATATAAAACGCTCATGAGCGATTTGAAGCTGATCAAGCTCCTTGGGTTCTTGTCACGACCACAATCAACAACAGAACAACTGATAAAAGGAAAGAAGATCTAAGCTTCTCTTCCAAGAGATCAGACAGTTCTGAAGTGGGTTTTTCTTTCTTGGCTGGTTCAAGTATTTCACTGAATATTTCACTCAACAATGATCCCACTGATTGGATCAGCTCCGCGAGTTTTGAAGTTGTGATGCCCATAATCCATTTCACTACCAGGGATCCGATGTCTGACTCCTCAGTTGAGCTCTGAGATTCTTTCCCTTCAGCTGTATAAAAAGAGTAGAAGAGCGAAAACAACAGCTTAAGTCAATATTTTCATGCAAGGAGTTAAGAATATGATCAATGTAAACCTGCACAAATCAGTGAGCCTTGAAGATTCTGAACTGCCTTGTTGTTCATCATAGCTTCCCAAACAGCTCTATCACTAGCTAAGGAAACAATCAATCTCTACATGCAAATAAACTCCCTTCAGATACATATATAGATCAATATAATGACATATCAAATGCAGAAATAAAATGTCACACCTGAATTGGTGGTTCATTTTGAAGCATATGAAAAGCATCATAAAATCTTGCATATCCATGGGACTGCAGCAGAGTCGACTGATGTGGATTTAGCATCGCTTTAGGCCAATTCATCTCTTCTTTAGGGTCATTACACCCACTCATGAAACTGCAAAAACAATATAACAGATTCAGACAAGTAATTGTTAGATCCAAACTGGGAAAAGTGTTGAAAGGTTCTAATTACCATAGAATGGAATTCTTGATCTTTTAATATTAGTGAGTTTGGAAGACCCATTATAGCTTACATTTATCTTGCCGCCATATCAGCATGAGTATTAGCACATGAAAATATGCAAGGAGAAATGGATTTCAGATTTGGATAATTTAAACCATTCAATTAACTATTTATCCGATACTAGCAAGATTTGGCTTCATAAATCCTCTATACCTATTTTTCTCTCTTCAGTATTTAAAGATTCGCCAGAATTTGGCTTCCTTGAGCCGGCAGTCTATTAGGGGTAAGGTTTGCGTACATACTACCTACCCCAGACCCCACTTGTACGATTTCACTCGGTATGTTGTTGTATCAATCTACAACCCTCCTACATAATTTGGACTTGGTACAAGCTATGTTGGAAGCACAGAAAGAAAGTTATTAATTAGTCAAAGCACTCCAATAAACTATCCCAAAAGAAGAAGAAAAGAATCAATTAGCTTTCTCATAATAGCAAAGATGACTAATTTGATCATTTTACCTTTGTAGATCAGACATGGCCTTTTCAACCTCCAAGCTAGATGGCACAGAACCAAATACACAGTTACAAGGAGACCCTTTTGTTCCTTTTTCATCAAATAATTCAATATCAAGAGTCTCAGTTCTTGGCCCATAATTAATACACCGATTCTTGACCCAAGATTCTTCAAATGATGTGTTACAAATTGATGACAAAGAATGGGGAGAATTAAAACTGGAAGAGTTGTTGGATTGTCCTACTGTACTTGTAAATGGTGGCAACATGGCTCCTCCCCCCATGTTTTGGTTTTACTCTAAATGCTATGGTTTTCCTCTTATCCTTTTAAGTCAACTCTCAGAAGTGAGATAGTGTATTAGTGTGGGCGGAAGGTATCTACAACTTTTCGTAAGAATGAAGAAAAAGGGAGATGTGTAACATTTTTGTTGGTGTTGGATAAGATATTTTAAGCCAATAATCTCGGATATTACTATATTTTCTTCCTCGTAATCCTTTTGAAACAAGTCACCACAGTTCGTATATGTATCACAGCTAGTAAATTTAACTCTAGGATAAATAGTAGTCACAAATTAAAGTTAGGTTGGTTATTATCTTTTCTCTTGATTATGAAAGAATATCCACTGATATGAATTTTAAATTATTTTTTAAAATGTTATGAATGACACATAACGACATTATATCCACTTAAAGTATAAAGATCTGTGAATAGGTACTAAATTTTTTTTAAAATTGTAAATCAATTAATCATAGTCAAGAAAGAAAGTTCTATGTAAATACATTTATTGGTTTGATATTGTACACGTTTGTGAGATTAATTTTCAATCTAACCGTGATGAGGTTCTTTATCTCAGTTCATAAAGATATTTTGTTTGACCAACAATATTGATCTTGGTTCAACCAATTACATTTAAATAAAGAAGAGTTAATCTTAGTTAAAAATAATACCCCTAAGATAAAGTTATCGGGATCGTCGTAAATTGCTAGTATATTAGTCCGGATGGCAACGAGTATAAGCAATAATAACGATATCCAATGATCCAAAAAGATGGAGTATGGCATTAAATAACAATAAATGATATTTAAGTAAATAAAACGTGTGAGTCACCCGAGAAGGGATGAGATCCGTGGATATTCTTTCTGACAATGATGAATGATTGATGAACCGTTGAACAATTAGGTTGTCCTTGGATCCGGTGTAAAATGCTTGACAAGAATCTTAGTAAAAAGGTTATTTTTGTATGCTTGCAATAAGACCAGATCCTCTCTATAAAGTCAATGTGTTTTTTACAAATGAATATCTTATGTCCCCTGTAATTGTGTCTTTCTATTTATAGGAACATGTTCCTAGAAACCATAATAGTACATGTACAAAGAATATCCACTAAAATATTCTCTTTTATGTCTTATCTTAGAACTAGCCGTTATAACTCTGTATAAGATGCTCGACCTCGACTCACGGTGAATTCGCGACCTTGATCTTTGCTGACTCTTCGACCACATCCTTCATTGCTTTGAGGCCGATCTTTGTGGGGACTTTACTGATAGCACATGACGATCGACGAAGGCTGTAATAATACTAACGTGACTTGCCTATATTAAAAATATTTTTTGGCCCATACAATATTCACACCAAATAGTTAGGATTATGAGTTGCCAAGTATTATGGTGAAGTGCTAAATTTTACAAAGACTCGAAAGTGATGTAAAAAGTACAGTAATTTTGCAAAGTAGTTAGTCCAGCAGTGAGCAGGTAGCATTTTAGCAAACGATTTGACCCGCTTCGAAGTGAAATCCGGCCCGTTTTTATTCTTCATAACAGCATTAAGGAAAAAACCTCCGTACCTTTCTTCTTCACAGGAGCAAAATTTCCACCAGGGTTTTGGTAAAACCCTAAACCCCCAATGGCTCGGTCAGCTAGATCCTCTACGACGCGCCTACTCTATAATCTCTGCTCCTCCACCAAAAGGACGACGCCATTGAATCCTCAACACCCACCTCAATCCCCTATCGCCGCTTTATTGGCCGGAAACTTCCAGCTCCGCCACTACGCCGCCGCCAGCACTGCCACCGCCAGAGTGAGAGACGAGAAAGATGCGGCATGGAGAGAGTCGCTTGAAAAAGTACGGAATATTGGGATTTCAGCTCATATTGACTCCGGTAAGACCACATTGACGGAGCGGGTACTGTTTTATACGGGTCGGATCCATGAGATCCATGAAGTTAGAGGTAAAGATGGAGTTGGTGCAAAGATGGATTCCATGGATTTAGAAAGAGAAAAAGGGATTACTATTCAGTCTGCTGCTACTTACTGTACTTGGAAAGACTATCAGGTATTAAAAAATACATTCTTTTTCACCTTTAGAAGTTTTTACTTATTATTTTGATTGTGTATACTTGTTTATTTTCTTGCCAGAAATTGATTAGAACAGAGAAATGTGGTTGAACAAGAAATTTTTGGAAATTTGGTAAATGGTTGGTTTATTGAAGCTGAATGGCTAAGAGTAGCTGAAAGTGCATCTTGTGATCTATGAATGACTCCAGTAATCGTATTATTTAGCATTCTCTAATTGCAAGTTTGATTCTTTGATCTTAAAATTTCTGTCTAGACCTTCTTGACTGTCGAGAAGTATTGAAAGTACACTTCTGAGGGAGGGAGGAGGGAGGAGAATTGTGAAATTTCGGAAAAAGTGATTTTTTTTTCAAGTTGAAAATGGTATTTGATAATTAGAGATATGTTTGGACATGATTACAATTTGGAGTTGTTTTTGAATTTTTATAAGTGCTTTGAAGTGAGAATTTTGAAAAACAACTTTTTGGAGTTTTTCAAATTCCGAAATTCAACTTCAAAGTGAAAAATTGAAATTTTCATGTGGCCAAACGCTCGTTCCGAAAAAAAGTGATTTTCTTTTTCGAAAAAAGGAATCTTTTTTATGGCCAAACGGATTTGGTAAAGTTATAGAGCTGATGGAGATATCTGGGCCTCGTTTTATGGATATCATTAACCCATTTCTTTTAGTCAACCCGAGATGGCCTAGAGACTCACGATTTTCCCAGTTGCTTCAGTGATCAGTTTTAACCAAAAATTTCGTTTTCTCCACAAGACAGTATTGAGCAACTTTCGATTTCCTTCTTTGGAGTACTAATTGTGGCTACTATGAGATTCATGCACTGACATAAAAACAAAATTGAAGTGGTCCATGTTACCTAAATTGCTTGGACTGAGCCCACCTTTTGTTGCCCTCATTAGAGAGGAATTTCTTAGATGTTGGACTTCAGATTATGACAATGTAATATAATCTGTGTTTTCAAATAGCTGGTCATCGGATCAATTTTTAAACTGTAGAAGAGGCATGTTGAATCCAACGTTATCAAAGGCGAAAAGCGCAAAAAAGCTCTAAGGTCCGTTGGGGCTTTAAGCGCAAAGCGCAAATAAAGCGTGGGCTTTAATGAAAAAAAAGCGCAACTGGAGAAAAAGTAAAAATATGTATATGTAGTCTAAGACTAATAATTATAAGCATGAATAACAAATATATGGACAAGAAAATTGGAAAAAATTCGGATAAAGTGAAATATCAATTGTTTAATGTTGCCTTTTTAGGATTACACTCATTGGCAAGTAAAAGTATGCCTAAGAGCCTTGATGCGATACTAAAGCGCCCACAAAACGAGGCGAAGCGCTCAACATTGTTTGAGCCTCGCTTCAGGGCTTAAGCGCGCCTATGACAACATTGGTTGAATACTCTAGAGGTGGCAAGTTATACGTTAGGGTTATTCCTACTGCAATTTAGACCAATCCCAATGGTCAATGGAACTTTCAATCTATTTGTGCTGGTTGGTGTTATCACCTGCAGATTATATGGAGGTAAATGAAGAAAATGTGAGGAAAATTGATTTCCCATCATATTTTTGTTATTGTTGTTGTAGCTGCTGGTGAATACAAAGCAATGTGAAGAATATGCTTAGAGCATTTTGTGTGGTCTGCTGGAAAATGATTTGTCATGCCTATTCCTTTCTAGTATTTCCAAGAATCAGTTCTCTGCTTTCCTTTCTCCACATTTCAGCTAAAGGGATAATCTTGCTGAAGTACATAATCAACTGAATCATAGTAGGTTTTTATTCTGACATTTGTGCTCTATATAAAGAACATAGAGCAGCCATGGAATAAATGTCGGTTATATGAAAGTTTGATTTTCCAGCCGTTAGTAATAGATCCTTTATTATTTTGGGCAGGGAAAAACAAAAAGATAGATTTTTTTTATTTTCTATTCAACTCGGATTAGAATGAGATTGTTTTATCCCTTATCAATTTTTTGATAAAGGAATAGTAAAAATATATTAGTTTTATTCTTTATTGATATCCTATTGACGAGGCAAGTCAAACAAAACGGACAAAAATGAAATTGTTAGGACTGGTCCACAAGAGATTCTTGTTGGGTGCTTAGTTTATTGAGCTAAGCTTACTGATCCAACCAGATACGTGAAACATTATTGTAGCTTCCGTTTCCTATTTCTTTTCTTGGGTTTTCTCTAGGAAAGATTAGCATAACATTGCATGCAAATGTTTTCTCTTTTCTGAGGCGAGCCTATTGTAATAATCCTCAGTTGTTTGGTTAGTAGAAAATTTTTTTGGTAGATTTGTGGATCCAGTTTATAATTTCTGCTTGTTGCAGGTGAACATAATTGACACACCAGGTCATGTTGATTTCACGATTGAGGTGGAAAGAGCCTTGCGTGTTCTTGATGGAGCCATTCTTGTCCTTTGTAGTGTTGGTGGTGTCCAAAGTCAGTCTATCACTGTAGATAGGCAAATGAGAAGATATGAAGTCCCAAGACTTGCTTTTATTAATAAACTTGATCGGATGGGGGCGGACCCATGGAAAGTTCTTAACCAGGTCAGCTATGCATCATCGAAGGCCTATTACATTTCTAAAATTTAATTCAAAGCTTATTTTCCTTTTAAATAAGTTAAATTTTGTTGCTCTTTAATTTGTTGCTTGCTGCCAGGCGACATTTCTCTTGTCATCTGGTATTTCAGAGAAATCGCAAGCAGCCTAGTTCATTGTCATCATGCGTGAAGGAACTAAACATGAATAAATATATTTGAGTGCCAAATCAGTAGACCTCTAGAAAACATTTAAGGCGGGGAAGCCAGTGTGTTCATGCAGCGTTCATGCTAAGGATCATCATCATAGTTCTTCTGTTAACTGAATTCCTTTATATCTGTCAATATAAAAAGTTGGACAGTTAGGTTGGGGTTCAGAAAGTATTGTCTTTGTTGTAAACATCTGCTACTTGATTCACTGCTACCTCTTACTTTTTTGTGTGGGTTTGCCTGATTCTTTGGCAGGGAGCACTTATTATTGTTATGGACCTCTATTAAAATGCTTTTTTCTTATATGCTGCTCGGCATCTTGTTATCATTG